GGAATAAAAACCTCTTCTGATTCTGCGTTGCTTGCTGCATCGAGAATAGCCTCTCCTTCTGAACCTTCGTCATTCTTTGAGGAAGGAATTGCTGATCATTCCGGCCGGCTCTGTAGTTTCGAGGCTGGCTTAGATCTTTCTGCCGTTTTGGGGAACATCTTGGCCTTAACTTCTGCTTTGGTTGGCTCGGGTCGCAGGGGCAGAAGGCTGACCGACGAACCAGGGTCTAACAGGATGCGATTCACCTTGTGATTGTAAATCTCCCCGTTGGGACGATTGTGTTCAGTTGTTTTCAGCATGAGGTCGTCGTTAGTGAAGGCAGTCTTGATATCAGATGACATCATTTTTTGGTATTTCAAATTATTCACTAATTGGGTTGCTCCCTTTATATATAGAAATTATTTCGTTGAAGAAGAAACAACTACAAAGAGCTCGTTACATTATTCGAAATAATTACATTAATTTTTTTTAATTGGCAGGGAAATGATTACATTAATTGACATACATAATTTACACGACTATACATGAAATGAAATGAGCTATCAACCAGTGATTGAAAAATGTTGCAGTTGAGGCAGCAATCTGCATCCTCTTCTATTCAGATATAAGAGGCAGCCTAGTAACACTGGTTCCTCCACCTCCGCCGGTTAGTGATTTAGAGTTAATCACCTCCAGAAAACTTGAACCGGATTTAACAGGTTTTGAAGCTTTCTTTTTGTTTAATCTCATCGGAAGAATCTGCAACCTCGGATTCATCTCGGTGCCTGAATTTTCAGCAGCCAGCTGATAACTTTCCACTAGCTCAAGCTGTCGGGCGATTATTTCAGAGCGTCTTGGGAGAAGCTCTACTGGCTCTCCACCAGGAATCACGATGTACTCAATCGCAAGTCGAACCTCCTAGGACATACAAAAGGAGAAACGGTGTGCTAAGCAAATGATATAGGTAAGGTCCTAAGGATTATGTTGTGGAATGAACTGAGAATTTACTGACTGAAACGGATAATTGGGAAGGAAAATGTACCTCCAATGCATCAATCTCTTCCAAAGATGGTTTTCTTTTCGGGGCATCATCTTCAATTTCAATGTCGAAAGAACTATTGACTAACTGCTTTCGCAAAGAGCCAACAGATTCCATTTCAAGAATCATCCAAACTGCCTTGACCATTTGTGCCATGGTATTTGACTGGACAACAAAACCGAATGAGCCATGGCGTGTATGGTGTATACCATACAATGCAAATGTAAAATACATACACAAACAGAGAACTTCGAAAAAGAACGGAAGTGAGGCTACCTTCATGACAAATACAGGCAAGTCGTGGAACTTTGTTACACTGCGGATCCATGGGTTCTGTTTCATTTCATAACTGGATGCTATTATTACATCAGCTGTTCCGATATCATCAGTTACTTCTATTTCATCTTCAAGCCCCATTACCTTTGCTACTTGTAGAAGATCGGCTTCAAGGATCTACAATACATCAAAATAATAAAAAATTTGTTAATACAAATCATCTGCCTTGTGAAAACCTATTTACTAAAAGCGTTTTGGAAAAATTCATGAAGTTATTACTACAAAATGCCAGAATCAGAGCTTAAGAAAATGTGTGACCTTTGCTCTCAGTTTAATGAGCGTGGATTTGAAACTTTCCAATTGAAATATAGAGTGAAGCAAATAGAAACCTAAGTAACATACCTTGTATGCATATACAAAAACCGGCAAACTCCTCTTCTTCACAGATCTTTTGCTGCTCAATTTTTTGGACCGTGTAGGAGAATGGTCTAGATCTTCCGTGTCAGACTCTATATCAGCGGCATCAATGTTCTTTTTAACAGTAAAATCAGACACTTGTAGATAGCTCTTTTCAGGTACTGAAATAGACTTGCGAGAGCCACTAGCATCTGCATCAACACGACGGATTTCAAACAAAGGAGATTTTCCTGCAACCAAAAAATTTTCAATTTAGAATAATTTTGGCCCTTGAAATGTCAATCCAAAGAGGGAAGTGCAAAATACCAGCCAGTATAGCATCAACAGTTGCATCTAATCTGTGATGCACACGAAGTTCTGTTTTAGATATAATCTCCACAGCACACGTAAATGTAGGAGGCCCCCTTCTTTCCAGAATTGTCTTCTGTACCTTCCTTCTTCTTGCTTCTTCATCACCAAGTGTCACACTCTGCATTCAGATCAAAACTGCTTTTAGTCAATCAACAGTTTCTATCTGCGAAAGCCTTAAATTGGTAAGGTCTCGACACTATATCTGCAGTGGAAATGATGTCATATCTCCTATATGATACCAACAAGGAGCACTAATAGATCTGAGCACAACTAGTAAATGGTAGAGTTGACAAGTAGCATTGCACTGCACCTCTATGCCACCGACAAGGATCTGTAGAGAAGGATTTTTCATTACTGTTGTCTATCGTCATTCCATGTGCTGTTCCAACTAGTTGGACTCCTCTTTGAGCAATAGTACTGGCGGCCAATGCTTCAAGTTCTGTTCCAATTTCATCTATTATGATTGTTTCGGGCATATGGTTTTCTACTGCTTCAATCATAACCTGCACAAAAGTTCCCAAGGGGTAAAACGATGATTTGGGTGAAGGAAAAACAATGCACATTTACTACTCGGGAACTAAAGCAACAGTTGGAGATAAAAAGCGGTTGAATTGTTGTCAACACTCACATTATGCTGCATATTTACATTAGGAACTTGCATCCTCCTTGCACGACCTATTCCTGCGTGAGGAACATCTCCGTCTCCACCAATCTCATTCGATGTATCCACAATCACAACACGCTTCATATGATCATCTGCCAGCATTCTAGCAATTTCTCTGCAGGGGACAAATTCATAACATGCTTATTCATGATGCCAGGTGAAATGGAATTTAAAGGTTCATTTGCTTGGACCAGGAGTAGGCAATACCTGATTAAGGTTGTCTTCCCAACTCCAGGAGGTCCAATGACCAAGATGGAACCGCCGCCCTCAACCAAGTCACGTATGATCTCAGCGCTTCCTGACACAGCTCGTCCCACTCGGCACGTGAGGCCAATGATTTGCTTTTTCCGGTTTCGAATGGCACTTATCCGGTGTAGTGAATTGTTAATACCTGAACGGTTGTCATCTGAAAACTCACTAACCTGCAGAAAAGCAAGTACCTTTGTATAAGAAACACATAAACAAATAGTTACGAATCGTTTGAAAATGTTTTTAAAATGACTGAAAACGTTTTTGGAGAAGATGTTTATGGCTTTCAAAAGCACTTAGAGTGTTTTCTGTAAGAAACACCAATTATGTGCTTTTTCTAAGAAACGTTTAAGTGATTTTCTAGGATTGACTTGCTTTTTAACTAAGGATTGGTTCCAAAAAAAATTTCATCAAAAACGCTTTCAGCCATTTTAAAAACACTCCCAAACGAGCTCAAGATCTTTCCTTCTAAACAAAGCTAATAGGTATTTACCAATAACTAGCATGACCAATCACAAAAGGGTCCAAAATTAACAATTTAATCGATCATTAAATAAATAATTAAACCATAGAGACAGCCACTAACACCAAATTAAAGATTACCCAAAAACACTTACGTCATGCAAATATGACACTTAATTTTTCAATCTGCATAAGAATGCTCCAAACCTTCGATACAGCGTGCCGTAGATCTTCAAGATTCACCGGCTTTTCGGAGATCACCCAATCACCGGAAGGAAACCTCGCAATCGGACTCCTCCCCAAATCCATCACAACCTCAACGAGCTCGCCAATCTCCTCGTGCCTGTACAGCTCACTCCTCATCCTCAAAGGCAACAATTCAAGTAACATTCCCAGCTCTGAAGCCGCCTCCGGCTGCGACGTGGAAGCCGGATTCAAATTCGGAGAGTTCGAAATCAACCCATTTCCGGAATAGAACCGATCGGACGGCCTCCGAATCTCCGGGGACGGAATCCATTGGGTGGAGGATTTGGACGAGGCAACCGGCTTATGGCCACCGCGTGTTCGACGAAATGTTGAAGAGACTGCAGAGGTGAATTTGGAGTTCTGAAGGTAGCAGAGAGTCGAGATTGGGATCTGGTTCGCCGATTGCCATGAGCTCTGCAAATCAACGAGCACGCATTGCGAGCTCAAAGCTCTCATTTTTCCTCTGAATTATTAATTTTTAATACAATAACAAAGAGACTCTGATTTTATTTTAATTTTTTTAATTTTTTATGGATGTAGTTTTTAAAGTGTCCGAATTGGCGAGGATGGAAGAAGATTCGGAGGTATCTCCTCCGCGATTGGAGTTTTGGAGGGAAAGTGGGGCCGCCAAAGAGCAACCTAACAAACGGTTAGCGACCGTTGAAAGCAATGGAAGTTGAGCCACGTCGGGCTGCGTCGCGAGCCACACATATTTTCCAAGGCTTCTAGCTTTGGAATTCTTTAGAAAAAAAATTCATTATTTCCTTTCTTGCACTCCACAATTTAAACTTTGGGACTGTTAATAGCACTTAAAAAATAATCATTTTTCTCGATTTTTGAAAAGATGTATTGTCGTTGCAAAATCAACAACTAGTGTTTTTTAGAACAAAAAATAATCACGGGAGTAAGTGATAGCTATTTTAGAGATCTAACAATAATTTCTCTATATCTTGGTAAAATTATGATAGCAATTCGTGTTATTTTGGCGAAAATCTGCTTGGTTAGACCAGTATCAACCTTCACGACTAATTGTTGCAAATTTAAGTTCAATTAGTCATTTTATCGACAAAATTAGCACACGAGAGACAAATAGTGTGTGAATTTAACTTTTTTTGGCTGTAGAATATAGAGAACTTTTTATGGTTCCGTCCCCTATTTCATTTTCGTATTAGGTCGACTTTCAAGACTTTGAAGCAAAATCTGAACCCAAACACAAATCAGTCGTCTAGCCGTGCAAGAATGGTGCACGCCATCGACGAAGACCTGCTCTTGCCGGCGGGTTTGCCTGGACTCTAAAACTCAACCAACTTAAGATAATAACCCCAAACCACTCCTCAAATTCGATCTTCTACCAACAAATCAAATTCTGATATAGTCTACAGTGAAAGATTAGTGAGAGACATCGTAAAGAATGGCGATGAACAGGATGAAATATCGAAACATTCGTCACGTAAACATGCCAGAAGAGATGAGATTGCCAAGTTTCTTTCATAAGCAATGCAAGTTAAGATGGAGGCACGGAGGTTATGCAACAGATTGGCTCTTTATTATGCGCGTACTGATTTACCAGTTTGCATCTTGCCGTGGTAGAACTAGAAACTCGATGCTTAAGAAAATATGCTGTACACTGCACAATTATGAAAGCCGGCAACAACTAAATTCGGCATCCAATCTATTCCCATCCCATCAACTTGTTTCTTACACTTTCCTCAATTTTGTTCCTTGGCACTGGAGAACCAACTCCTTCATCTAGCAGGATTCTGTATACTTCCCACTCTCGATCCCGGATCATGTGTCTGCCTATCTTGACCTGAAATAATGAAAGCACATTGAATCGTAGAATGAGTATCAAACTAAAGAGGAAATCATTCGTCTAAGCTGGCCGAAAGGAAATTACAACGAATGCATAAGAAAATTGTAAGATTGGTTGGGGGCAGTACAGAAAATATGCGTGTTTTTAGAACTTTGAGGGCGAGTGTGATATCATAAAAGACAAGAGGACGGCCCCTGCCAGACAACTCAACGGGGTTAGCAACCAGCAGCTCAGTGTCAGGACCACGGCTCACCACAGCCACTCTAAGAGGATGCAGAAGCTCCATTCTCAAGCGGGAAGATAATGCATTTTGCTTGTTCGGGTCAACAATCTTCTTCCCATCTGCTTGCATTATGAACAAGTCTAACTCACAATTTCCTCTTGGGTTAGCACAGAATCGTCCATAACGAACCTGACATTAAGCAAGAATATTCAATAGAATCATCTCTTTAAAATAACGATAAATCACCTTCGTTATCTACTAAATAATGGTAAAGTCAAATGACAAAAGAACCTTTGGAGAGAGAGAGATTAAAAAAATCTACAAAACCTACAATTAAAGATGTACCTGAATATTGTAATCCTTCAGGGTTCTCATGATGTCATATATGAGACCCTTATGATCTTGGCAGAAGATTTGAACAAGTGTGTGAGATGGGCTAAGGTGATTGTCTACGGTTACTGAAACGGGGTTGGAGGCAACAGATCTGCTTAGGCGTCCGTTGGGCAGCTCTAAGCTGAACATTTCTTCGGTAATAGCAGAAGGAAGATACGGAGAACCCTGTAAACACGCTGTAACTTCTGATCCGGCCAACTCAATTTCGCAACTCAACAAAGCATTGCATAAAACAGCCTTCAGAGAATCAATCGTTTCATCTTGTCTTCTTTTTGTATGAAGAATTTCTCTGATTGAAACGGGAGAAAAGAACAATAATATTCACCATATTCTAGAGGAGTGAAACGACAAAAGTAAAAGCGGAAATGATGCACAGTTATTATTTATTGAAAGGGAAGCAATGTTAAGAATGACAAACCTAGTATCTGTAATGAAGAAAAGGTCCATTACTCTCCCATCGGGGGTAGTCGATACCTTCACACTGTTTATAGTGAGCTCCAGCTCACAGAGAACCTCAGTGACATCTATTAGATAAAACCGTATTAATGTAAATCCGAAACAAATTATATGACTCCATACAGTACATTTCCCACTCAATTATTGAGATAATTCAAAAGTGTAGGAAGCACTTGGTAAATGAAGAGTCAATAAAGACAGAATCAAACAACTTATAGACTGATTAGCCAAAAGGTAAGCAAAATTAACTTTCTTCCAACAGGTAACTCATAGGACATTTAGTACCATAGGTGAAAGAAAAGGATCCCTTATTTGATTTCTTAAAACGAAACAAAAACAGAAATAGTGTTTTCATTTTTGCCATACAATGTTACGGAAATAGGGATCATACCGTTAAGAGTTCACATGTCTTCCTTTCCATATTAACACACCAAAAAGAATAATATCTACACTTGTACGAATCTGTCATAAATTATATTCCTCGGTAATTCGTATCCATTCTGAACAAGGGAAAGGAAAATGACGGATTCTCTTGCCTTTTACACAACACTGCTAAGTATGGGAACTCATAATATCAATCGTTGGAGATCATCGCCTTCCTATTTCATCACGTAAACAATTGATAATCACCGATAAAAGATAGTCAAAACTTCATCTAATTCAAACGCTTACTAGTTGGAGAGTTCAGACAAATCACCGAGAAAGATATTCAGTAACTGCACTATTTCTAAGCAAATTAAGCTCGAGGGTAACGCTTACGAAGTTTCAAGAGAACAACTACTAATGCAATTGACATTCTTTGTAATGAAGGCTTAGCATTACCATGCAATAGTCCGTCCCGTTCATAAGAACACCAGAACTTCAAAAGGAACACATCCGGTGGCTTAGGCTGCTGGTTTTCGGGCCGGTAATAGAATATTCCAGAAGTCGAAAAATACGATGGACACGCTGCCAACAGTCTCTTTGTCAACAAATTCCACCTTGTGCTTGGTTTCCCCACCACCCAAAACACTATGTAGCACCATTTCCCATCTGTTGAAACATCTGCTCCACAAAATAATCATATCGGTCACAAAAAATTTCATAAAAAATATGAATAAAAACCCAAGTACAAATTACTACTTAATTTTAATAAGCTTGATGAAGAATGACACATTTCCAGATTTACTTGAAATGAACTTTAGACAGATTTCCACAAGAAAAAAAAAGAAAAAAAAAAAAAAAAAAAAAAAACCAATATTTATTTCTCTCTGAATCTTTATATCCAACCCAAGATTTCTCAGGCATTTCCAGATCCAAACAGTAAAAAAAAAAAAAAAAAAAAAAAAAAAAATTACACTGCCAACCATATTTCTAGTTAAAAATTCCAAAACCCACCTCCCAACAACTCTGAAAAATTAAAAATAAATAAATCAAACAAAAAGAATACATAAAGCAAACAATAAATCCTCACCTCCCCTGCAAATGCTGAGGCCAAACAGTAATATAACTCTGCACAAATCACATTCCAACCCAGTCTTGTCAGGACAATTCACAGTGATGACAGTGGGCTCCCCAGCCTTCTCCGCCTGGTTAATTACCACAACGTCCTCGTGCAAAATCCCCATAGCTTCGATTTCAGCTGCTCTGCTTTTCCAAGCTCTCGGGAAACGGATGAAGTGAGAGCGCCCGAATGGCTTCCAGTTCGGTATCTTCGGATTCTCTCTGTTGCTTACCGGGTGTAAACGGATTGGAGATTCCTCCGCTCTGCTTTTCTTTTCTCGGCACTTTCTCAGCTTCTCGTCCTTCGCTTTATGTACTGTTTGGACAGTGAGAAGATTAGGAAAGTATTTAAAAGACTAAAGCACGTGTGTGATTAGGTCGTGAGCCAATTAGTGTGGACCACGTCGTCGTTGCTTCAACAGGATTAACTGTTGCTTTACAGTTAAATAGGATTAATTTTGTAATTAATGAATTATCGTAACGATATGACAATTCATTATCTCAAAGATTAGAGGAGATGATGTCCTAAATTGAGATTAAGAGTCAAGATTATTCAATTGGTCAATTGGGCTTACTTTCTTTTTTGGTCAATTGGGCTTTAATTTATTTTTTAATTTTTTTAAATAAACGATATAATCTATAGTGAAAGAAGAGGTGATAGGCTTAGCATCATAATGGGCTAGCAATAATGTAGTTCAAATTCGGCTTTGGCGAGAATTGAATCTAAGATTTCTCACTTACAAATGAAGAAGAATACCATCAGAACGTAATACCATTTGTAGGCTTGTACCGACCTACCACGGTGGCATTTCGAACAGTGCTCCACCGCTTAAGGATGTTGGAGGAGGAGAGGGAAAGCGGGGTGAATGCAAATTCGATCCAGACAAGGTTGCAGTAAGAGTTGCCAATTTTACCACTATACCAATATAACATTAGATAGTGCTATTCATACACTTTATTTTACCTCCCACACATTTATGTTAATTTTCGTCCATTGATCTTTTTTCAATTCATTCGAGTGGTCAGAAATTGAGAATGATGCGTGAGAAGTAAAAATAGATGTATGGATAGCATCACCTATAACATTTTGTGCTAGACTGACATCGGTGCGTAGTTGATGTGTCTATTAACATCGGGTCAATCTCAACTGACACATAAGGTGCTAAAAGAATGTTCCTGCATATATAGATTCAAACACAATGCTAATGCAACTTGTTTTATAAATGCAGTCGGGTTGAATGCCATGTTCATGCAAACTTACATCGGCGGTGTTTCGTGCCCCCTTATATGTTTCAAGAAATGGGTGAACCACGGTGGTTTACTTGTGGGGTATGGCGTCAAGGGCTACTCTGTTCTCAGGTTTGGCAACAAGAGCGACGGGGAGAACACGGTTTTTACCGTTTGTGCCGTGGCCACGCCATGTCCGGCATGAACTCAACGGTGTCTGCGGTTGTCACTAGTACTCGACCATCGTAGCCAAGAGGCTGAAATTCTCACCTCCTATATATTTCCATACTCGCATGCTTAAGTTTCCCCACTTCATAAATAATCTTGCATCTGTGGGACTGAGGTGAGATAGCTTAGGTATTACCTTACCTATATATCTCCAGCAATTTTTTTGGGAAAGTTTGATCCTGTACATTTCAGGGTCCTTGTTGAGTCTGGAAAGTTGAAACAAAACGGGTTAATGACATTGAATAAATATGATTGACTTTGTTTTCTAGTTTTGAATACAAGTTTTTAAGATAGGATCTGGCACGAAGCGAACAAAAATTCAATTATTCACTGACGAATTCCTTCGAATACTTGGTAAGTTTGTTGTCGTCAGCTAAATTAAATTGCGTATACGTCAACAAATATCAGCATATACCGAAAGATCTGATGAGTGATATAGAGAGAAATTGTGAAGTGTTGTCGATAAACGTAACATGCATCACATCAAACATTTAGTAGATACAAAAAAGACTTGTACTAAACATCCAGAGAATTTTCAGAAGACTTGTACGTGTGTAATTTCGAAATCTCAATGGTACTGAGATCACCTCTTTATTTTCATTTGACCTTGGCAAGAAGTACACACGCGTATATTCAATGAATTTGTGGCACTGTATATTTAACGATTATAGTGTGTTAAAGGATTGTAGTATAACTTTTACAAAACAAAGGGTATTATAGGTATCGAAAATGTAGAATTTTTGTAGTTAATGTACGGTACTCTTCAATAAAATATGGGTACCGGTACCTTCTAATTCCAAAGTCGGTCCAAGCATAATAACACCTGTGTAGTGATAAACTTATATTTATATATATTTTATATCAAATTTACTTGTCTTTTCTTAGTTAGTTCCTTATATTTTTGAGTTATTTACTTTGTTTATGTGTTTTGTAGGATTTGTCAAGTAAAGAAAAGAAAAATAACACAAGTGGAATTTTAAGTAACAAATTCGTCAAAACTGCCTGTGCAGGTCAGCTGACTTTGGAAGCAAGTTGCAGACAGCTCAGAATGAATTAGAGAATGAGCCTTATATGTTTGGAAAGTTACGGATGTCTATTTTCTGGAGCATTTCGCAGATTGTTAATATCATTTTTCTAGAAGAAGTTATGACCGTTTTAACACTGAAAGGTTACCAAGAGGCTGAGCAGTTTGTAACTGACAAGAAAGCATTGAAAGCAATAAATCCAATAAAACTAGCAGCCAAAACTGATGCAACCAAGAACAAGCCAGCTGACACCTATTCAAATATTAGAGAAAATGGAAAATTAAGTGGGAGTAATGGGCATAAAGGCTGCCCAAAGAGTTACAATTGTTTTAGCATTTCCTCTCACTTATTGTCATCACTAAATGGCTGTTAGTGAGGTGAGTTATGGAGAAAAAAGTGTGGCAGCACAAAAGAAGAAAAGGGTTGCAGGTTGCAGTGGCAAAGAGTGGAAAAAAAGGTGGAAAGAAAGGGTGGAAAGAAAGAGTAGAAAAAAAGTGTGAAAAAAAGATAGAAAAAAAGGAAGGAAAGCAAGGAAAAAAGGCAAGGCTGCTGCGTTGGGGAAGGAAGGAAAGGAAGGAGGAAATCTTGGCATTCTCTTATTTCGGTTTTATCTTCTCAAACTCATGTCTTTCTTTTGGTTTAATTTGAGAATTATGTGTAACTAATTTTTAGTAGTTAGGGGCTGTTTTGAAGCCCCGAATATGATTGCAAGTTTGTTATGACATTTCATTTGAATTACTTTTATGAATGGATGAAAATTGATTCACTACTTGTCTCATTGATGAATTCTTTATGTGTTTTCTACGGATGCATACTTAGTAAGCATATCTAGGACTCTAATGTTATGAATATGTGTGTGTCTGCCCTTGTCGAATGAGGACCTACATATGTTATAGAGTAGTACTTGTTAATCGCGATTAACATGTGAACCAATTTCTAGGATAAGTCTAGTACTTACGATGCCTTGTGATGACTCAAACTCTTTTCGTTCTTAATGATTTCTACTTGTTAAATCTATGAACACACCATTCGAGATTGCATGTTAAGGACTAAGTTAAGTTGAAAACGCCATTCTCTTAACATACTACATAAGAAAGAGTAATAGGTTGAGTTCTAACATTAAGCCAACTTGAGCATCTTCATCCAAAAATGAAAGGAATTTGAATGAAACGTAACATGTTTGCATGATTATTTGGTGGTGGATATCAATTCCCCTAACTCGTTTTTTCTTAATTTGTGAACTACTTAGAAATCTGTTTCTGTTCTGTTTTTGTTCGATTTAATTTAAATAGCAAATCAACTCCAAAAATTCCAAACATTTGTGTGATTGTAGCTCTGTCTGTCTAGTGTTTGCATATAAAATTTCGTAGACTTTAGATAAGTGTAAGTCGATCTAATAATTATTTCTCGGTGGCTGGCCAGTAGGGGCAGCAGCCCAGTTTTTGTGACATTTTAAGTAGTTAGATAAAATAATCTTCTGTGGGAAAGACCTTATTTTCATATGCTACAATTGACAAATCTTAGTGTTAATAAGGAAAATCAATAGGACATTTGTGTGCTACTTTGTGGTGTGCTTTTAATTCTATCAAATTTTTGGCACCATGTCGCGGGGATTGTTATTTCGAATTACTTATTTTTCTATTGTTTTCTTTTCTTGTCTAATTAGTGTTTTTGTTTTTGTTTTTATTTCAGGTACTCTTCGTAGCATATGCGTACTCGAAGGTCTAAGAGCATTGATCTAGCTTCCTACGATCTTGAGGTTGAACGAACACTTCGAAAGCTTCGAGGAACAATCAAGCAGAAGCGTGCATTGGTGTCTTTACCACCATCTTCTCCACCACATTTGAGTTCAGAAGAGGAGGAAGAACCATAATAAGGCATGGCTGATAACCGTACTTTGAGGGAGTTGGCAACACCTAATACGAATCAACAACCATTGTGCATCACATATCCAAATGCAGAAGGAGGATTTAAGCTTAAGTCCAGCATAATTCACTACTTGCCTAAGTTCCATGGCTTCTCAACAGAGGATGCCAACAAGCATCTCATGGAGTTTCATTTGGCATGCTCGGGAATGAGACTAGCCAATATGGATGAGGAGCAAGTCAAGTTGAGGGTATTCCCATTTACATTAGAAGCTAAGGCAAAGGAGTGGCTTTGCAATTTACCTCCGAGATCAATGAACACATGGAACCAGGTGAAGCAAGCATTCTTGAAGAAATATTTTCCGGGCACAAAAAGCTGCAAGCATAAGGAAAGACATATGTGCAATCCGACAACAACATTGAGAGCCCTTTGGACTTGGGCGGCCTAGGGGGCAACATAGAACCTTTTTTTGAACTTCCACTTGCCATTTCTACATACAAATAATAAAAGAAATGATACTAATTAAAATGTTATTTAAAATAATCTAACAAAATCAAATGAAATAAATAAAATTACCTTTCTCAACTTCTTCACAAAGCTTCATCTCCTCAATAGTTGGCTCATGATGTAATGCAACATGAATAGACCTAAGCCAATTTTGAGTACATATCAAAGCCTCCACTATTTTTGGACTTAAAGAACTTCGATATGGATCAATTATCCGTCCACTTGTACTAAAGGAGGATTCCAAACCAATGGTTGATACGGGAATAGCTAAGATCTCTCTTGCAACACGTGCCAAAATAGGGTATTTAGAAACCCCATTCACCCTCATCCAATTCAATATATCAAAGTTCTCCTCTTCTTCTCCTTCATTAGGATCGGAAAGATACTTGTCGACATCATTATGCACAACCCAAGCTCTCTTTGCTTTTCTCATTTCACTTTTTTCTTTTAACT